GTCTTGAGAATTCCCAAAGGGTGGAAGAAGGCAGTAAGTGGAGGGGAATATACGTATTTGTAATGCTTTGTTTATGTGACCATCTGACGTTTAGCAGTCACTTTAGGAATTGTTTGTAGCAACCCGAGGCTTCCCATAGGGTGGAAGAAGGCAGTAATTGAAGCCGGATACATGTATTCCATAGAGGACATTAAAAATTAGCCTGGACATGGTCCGAAGGCCAGTTCACAAGTCCAAGGGCTAGACAAATTCTAAAATGAGCTTTGAAACTCAGGTAGTCATATGAACAAATCATTACAAACATGAGTATGAAAATCTGTCACCAATGTGCAGTCATCGAACAATCTGTCCTCCAAAAGTCCAGCATCTGTGCACTATAAACACTTAAGATTTAAGCGGTCATAAAGTTTTTTAAATAACTGTTGTCACTAAAAAGCAAAGCAAAAGCTGTTTGCTGTTTTGATTACAGGATAGGCATAAATTATAGCTTAACGTGGTTTGAGCGAACAGAACTTTATTATCAAGTTATAGTGAACAATATTCCATGCATGCACACCAAAACTTTTGTGATTAAGCAAGAAAAAACTAAAAGTCGTATAAAGCAATCGATTAACAAATGCAGTATTAAAGAGGTATAGAAATACCGAAGTTAATTATTTAAACTCTTGTTTAAGCGAAGAGCTACTTTCCACTTGTTGACGCCATCGCTTCAGCTTGGTTTCGAAATGGGTCGTAAGAAGAGGAAGCAGATCAAGCCTTGGTGCTGGTAATTATTTCCTATGGCAAACACTTTTTAGGTATTGTAATAGAGATTTCGAGGATGAGAAGATATTAATTCATCATCAAAAGGCAAAGCATTTCAAGTGTCCTTTTTGTCACAGAAAGCTCTTTACCGGTCCCGGTCTTTCTATTCACTGCAATGCTGTACGTGGTTTATCCTAAGATGAGTGGTTTTAGGTTCACAAAGAAAAGCTGGATAAGATTCCCAACGCATTGGCACATCGAGCCAGCACGGTGATCGATATTTACGGCATGTCCGGTATACCAGAGGCCGATCTTCTTGAGCACGAGAGGCAGAAGCTTGGTCAGGAGGGTGAGGATGAGCCTCCAGAGAAGGTTGAGCGTGTAGATGATACAGCTAGCTCTTCCTTTGTTCCCCCTCTCCCACCTTTTCCGTTCATGCCTCCCGTACCAAGCGTGATGCCGTATATGCCCGTTGTTCCTGGGGGGTAGGTGATGCATTGTAAAAAAACGCGTATATAGGGTTCAGCCATTCCTTTCGGGAGTTGTTCCTGCTCCTCCTCCTCCGCCGCCACCACCGCCCCCGCCCCCACCGACGTCGGAAGCAGTGTCAACTACAAATGACGTGTCATCACCGAAGCCGACTTTTCCTGCTTATTCGGAGGCCGAGATCGTGAAGGCCTCTGCTTCTAAAATTATTCGGCCTGTGTCTGGTTTGAATGGGGTTACTGTCGAGCTCGTCTATCCGGAGGAGGACCTCTCTCTGGTGAGTTTGTTGTTGCCCCCGTTATTAGTCGTTTAGGAGGAGTTAATGGCAGCGAAACCCAAGTATCAGGAGATGCTTAAGCGGGCATTGCAACCTCCGCCACCACCACCGTCGCTCACAGCTATGCCGGCCCCGATACTGCCAACTACTACTCCGGGGATGCTATCCCCCTACGTCCCGCTCCCTCGCGGCGCTCCTGTCAGTACGACTGGTGTGCCCTTCATGCCCATGCAGCAGCCAAGTAGGTTGCTATTCTATTTTATGAACTCCCTCTTTAGTGTACGGGATGCCTGGTTACCCACAATCCGTGGGACAGGTGCCGCCTGCTTGGATGGGACTTCCGAACGTTCGGTTCTAACGCAAGTCAGTGGGTCGTATTAATGCCACCCTTAATTTTTGCCTGCCGACAATACCCCATGAGATATTTGTATAGCTCTGCGTTTATTATAACGTACGCAGTTTTAAATATTGCTTTCTTTCTTTTTTATGATGAAGGAGTGCCCAAGTCCTCAGATTTGCCCGGGGTTACCGGTATGTCAACAATTGCGACATGTAGGTCCGTCTAAGTAGTGCGTGATTTGGTATTTGTCTTCACATTATCACATTGTTGAACCCACATGGCCTGCCTCGCGGATAAGGTTAGTGGACTAACTTTTTTGGCAGGAATAGTCAAAGTGAGTTCGTTCTCCTCGACCAGAACGTAAGTCCATGTAATATGTGAGATTCAGATATAAAACAGCGTTGGTTTGGATCTGTGATCAGTGCTAAGACGCAGACAAGGTATGTCAAATATATCGTTTGCTCGAAGAAAGGTAATTTGCAATAAATTGTAATCCGTTAAGTTGACTTTTTCATTGCTTTTTGATCACTCGGGAGACGTAAGTCTTTTCCTGAGTTTCGATCAATGATGATATAGTCTCATGATAGTGCTGTGTCAGTACCAATTTAAGTCTGCAAGAACTTGTCGTGCCTGCATGTTTGGTTATCTCGTGATGGCTTTCGCGATTGTCTGGCTTTGGGATCCATATCCTGGCTGGTTTTTGCTCTTTCGTGCACTTGCACTTATTCGTTTTTGGTACTTGGGTTCCTGAGGCAATGTCCATGATGCATCTTTGCCGACTGTCTCTCCTCCTCCGGGCAGTCATTGTTGGGTGACGATTTGGTACAAACAGTGAGAGGGTTGTGATGTTCTCACGCACCTGGATCGTGTTGCTCCTTGTTCCCAGCGCATGGAGCCAAAGACGTGTATTGTAAGGCAGCTTCGCTAACCGACCTGTGATCATGGTGCCGGAAGCTGATCCCGCTACTCGCTTGTGATTTGTTCCTGTCTTCTCGGTGTGATTTGAAGCAAGTAGGTCGTAGTTAGTTGCTGTCGGGGAGCGGTTGAGGGGGGCTGATTTCACGGAGGTGAATGTGGCGGCTGTGAGGGCAGATCGGTGGTCCGCGCCAATGGCGTCTCCGTGCGAGTTGCTGGAATCGAAATTCGGTTTAGATTGGCAAAGCTTTGCGCGGTTGCGTGTCGTGATGTAGTCGACGTTGGGGCCTTGTGGTCTCCGCCAACATTTGGCTGAGTAGCCGTGAGTGTGAATGGATGATGGCTTCTTCCGGAGATCTGATGGGCGTCGGGAGCGCCGCGGTTGGGTTCTCTCCTGTGGGTCTTTGGGGTCCGCTTGGGATATCGAGCGTTGTTCCGTTCGCGTAAGTTTGGGGAATGACATGCTGCATAGGGACGGATTGTTTGTATGAGTGTGGAAGCAGACTGACAATCGTTCCCCTAATTGCTGTTTGAAGTGGATAACGTCGGGGGATGGAGTGAGTGGCGTTTTTGACAATATCTTTTGAGCGCAGTATTGAGCGTGTAGGAATCTCACTGCGGCAGTTGCAGAGGTCGCTGTCATGAAATGTGAGACTACTATCTAGGGGCAGAATATCGCAGCGTGGGAAGAGCCGCGGTCTGGTTAACTGCAATCGTGTACTTTGCGGAAGAGGATGTGTCACGCTTCTGCGCTAACCATTGCTGTAATTTCATCGTTGGCAGTTGACTCGTCACACTTAGTGAGTTTTGCCTGTTCATTCGTGTCTGTTGCTAGTAGCATTGGGGACGCCTCCGGCACTGCGAGTGCCAGAGGTATTTAATTAACTATCTGAATAGACAGGTTGATGAAGGATGGCGGAGATTGCTGCGGGCGAGGAGGTTCTCAATTTAAAAGGGCGAGTATTTTTTTCCTCTTCTCAGCTCGCTTACTTACTCTTAAGCATGGCTTTGCGCAATATGATGGCGTTCGTAGTTCATTTACTTCTTATCGATATGAACACCCCACAGATGCAGCTGTAAAAATTGTCAGACACTCCTACAGACAACTAGGCCCGATTTGAGGTGAACCCATAGTTACTGTCTTAGTCGCGAGCCCATTTCCTCTTGAATGTATCGTGTTGGAGGTGGAAGGATTTGACTACCCGTTTACAAATCACTCACGGGTCATACGTGATAATCACCGTCATCGTTTCCTTTGTTTCACATCACAGACTCGTCTTTGTTAAATCACGAAAACTACACATCATTTGCGACAGAAGGCGTAGTGACAAGTTAATTCAACCATTAAAAAAGAAAAGTCGCGACGCAGGATTTGTGGTTATTTTACTGTGTTCTGAGTTTCATGGCTTGCAGATCTCACTATCAAAGTATAGCTTTTCTACAATTGGCACTGAATGTGAAAGTTAGCCACCGTAGGCGAGGAGAGGGATCCTTCAAAATCAGGTTGTGCGGTTTAGCTCGTATGTGTAGGCGTCAATGGAGGCCTGGTCAAAGAGTACGAAACGCGCATCAGTTAGCGACGTCTTGCCCTGATTAAGGTGGGTCTTGATTGTGTTCACGATGATCTCAGCTGCCAGGTCCTTGGGGAAATTAGCTCTTACAGGAGAAAAGAAGGAAGTCACATCATCAGTGAGAAGCTAGGGTTGTGAACAAAAGGGAGGCAACTCACTTTCCACTGCCTACCGAAGGCAAGGCAATGGATGTAAAACCGGCCTTCTCGGCGGTGACAAGACAGTTACTTATCGTCTTTCCAAGATCTCTTATACAATACGCGGAACGGTTGGAGTTCCACGTTGGACCGTTCACGTGAATCACATTACGGGCTTTGATTCCAGTGCCTTTTGTCACGAAAGCTAAAAGGAAAATAGCTTCACCTGATGCTGGGATGGTGGTTCATAGAGGAAGGTGTTGTATGATTTTAAGAATTAAGCTGATTGATCACAAAGTTGGAATTGAAAACATCCTCATTCCAGGGTGGTTTTCACCAACTGGAAACAGTAAGGAAAAAAAGCACTGCTTTGGAGTAGTTTTGGCTTCAGCATTGAAATCACTAACATTCTGTATGGGGAGGAAAATTGAGCATTGATGGAGCTATCAAAATTTTACATTACCACTATTCTTTTGCAAATTGGTGATGCAGCTGCGGACATCCCTCATGACCTTGGCAAAGGCATCTCCTCCCACAGCCATTAGTCGGGATCCTACCATACCTCCCATCCAAAATGTGCTGTTGGTTGGATTGACGACTGCGTCTACACTCAGTTCTGCAATGTCTGCTTGAACTATCTGGAGAGTCTGGCCCAGTGGCAGCTTGATTTTGTGCAGAACTTTTGCCTTCTAAATGGGGACAGCAAACTCGGACATTTATTACATCCGATGTGAGAAAAGTTAGACTTTTAACTATTAAATGTCTTTCATCTGTCATAAAAGCCAAGTACATCCCTTGAACTCCTGATAAATCTCAACCTTTTAGCACCGGAAAATGTGACGTGTGCAGAGAAATTGTCCTAGGGCTGGTCAAGCCATATCAAGTCTTGAAAAAAAACAGTTGCGGCGCTATAAGTGCTGCCTGTAGTGGGTGAGACAAAAGAGCGTAAGCAAGCCATTTGACAAACTTCACTCATTCACGTCTTCTCAAACAACTAGAAAACGCCTTCAGAGCGGCAGGAATTTGTTTTAATTATGCGAGTTGTGAACAATCATTCGTGGTCTTCTGCCATCTGTTGCATTCAAGGTCTTTCTGCTAGTGTCAAGTACAAAAGTGTTTATGAGAAGGGACGATTGCTTTAAGAGAGTACATTAAACAAAGTTGGAGCTACCTTAACTGTGCTGGGAGCACGGGGAGTGGATGGTTGCTTTGGTGGCTTTTGAGGAAGCAAAGAAGGATAAATGTAGGGTGTGGTCCCACTGAATGGAAAGATTACTCCTGACAACACCTATGAGAAATTCATAAGAAAATGAATATAGAGTTTTACCTTAAATAACTCTTCGTCCGCACGAACTGCTAACATAATTGAGCGAGGTGATATTGTCTTGCGTTTGATTCCCTTTGTAACTCTACCAGCTAAGTCAACAACTTCACCTAATGAATAAGGAGGTAATAATTGATAATTTAGAGATGGGGTATTGGTAATGGACGAGTAGACAAATTTAATCCGAATTTAGTCTACTGAAATCGAATTAAGTAAAATGATCCAGCCTGATCGTAAATACCTCAGAATGATTTGGAGTAAATGGACATAGATTATGGTGAAGTTGCATATGCTATCGCAAAAATAGTTCGAAACGTCATCCGAAACTTACGCTGCATCAACACTAGAGCTGATCGAAATTTATTAAAGAATTACCAAACCATGAGCGAGAATTCCCTAACACATCACAATAAGGATGGAAAACCTATTGTTCAAAAGTTAATCTATACCTACAACTCTTTTTTTGACCACGATGAGTAGGTGCGTACTAGCAGAAAATCCAGAGGTCTAAATATGTCAATTGGTAAAAGTAATGTTCATAACAGACTATCAGAAAGTTGTCACGTTAAGATGAGCAAAAGAGCCCAAATGGCGATTAAGAGGCAAGTTGTAGCCATGTGGGGTGGCATTGCCAATAACAGCTGAAAGCCGTACTCGAGAGATATTCTAGAACGGCAGTCAAGTAGACGACAGAGGCTAAGGAAATTCGCGTAGAGCGAGCTAGCTTAGAAGTTTTCAGGAGGCGGCGAACTCGAGCCACTGGAAATACGAGGCCACATCGAGTAGACTTGCTGATAACGGTCTTCTTGTCTAGAAAATTTACATAATAATTGCTTGAAGTATGGCGTTCAGGTCATCAGAAAAAAAAACTTAAAGTCCAATAAACAGTGTACAACTTGAGTAACTCAGCGAGCTTTAAATTAGGCAAAATGTCAACAAAATGCAAATTTGGATTTAAGTTTCGATGCTTAATAAAGGTAAGTAAAATCCCAACGAGATTTTTTGAAGCAGCAAGCAGTCGACCTTATCTCGCAAAAAAGTTGTGAAAAGGCAATCTGACAACGTTGACCATTGTATCAACTGATAGTTTAAAGCGGTGAAGAAAAAACTTGATCAATACGAATGCTTGTCTCACCACTCTGAGTTTTTTTCACTGACATAGGCATTATTTTGCAGGAACTGGAGCAACACAGTCGGCATATATGTATGCAGTGTAGGTGTTGTGATCCTCTCCAGTGATTGGCTGAAAGCAGCATAAAATTTGCGTCATTATGCGCCAAACACCCTCCAAAACCAGTGGCTATTCTACCTCCTTTATCAATGTTTATGCGCTGCGTATGTGGTAAGAGCTGACTCTTTTCTAGCAATAAATCGGCTAAATGTCTTCTTCCTTTGCTGTAAGAAGTGATTTTAAGGCTGTGGAATGATGTTACACGAGTGATTTGGTGAAGTGGCTAATGAAGTCAAACCTAGGATAGGATGCGAGTATTTAAGCACAAAATTTCCGTAACCCAAACACCACTGGTATAGTACAAACCACCTAGCGTAAGGTGGGAGAATGGCGACCGCAATCTAAGACTAATAACTAAAAGAGCATAGTGTTGGTGTCGTACTCATAAGTTTTACCCATAGTGTTTTGGATCCAGCTACCTCATTACTATGGCACTGGTCTCCAAGGTGACACAGTGAAAGCACTCTTCATATCCTACTTTATGAAACCTTTCTGGTCTAAATGATCAAAGCGGACGAGAAGAGCAAGAAGTGCTGCTAATCATGTGTGATGGAAGGGATAGGCCGAAAAGCACAGTGTACTGCAAGGTATTTTAATTTAAAAGCCGCAATGCAGATACTGCAAGTAGTCTGATCAAATCTGCATTGGAAATACCAATTCCGTTAATTATCAAAACGGAGAAGAAAATGTAGTGAAGAAAGAGTTTTGCCCTTAGAAATATTTCAATATTATGGTGACTTTGAATACAGAACATGGACATTAAACGTCCTAAGAATTTACAAATGAACTGCGTCTTCGCTTAAACGAATATTTTTTGTCGAGTGTATGTGGAAGTATTATAAGCAATTTACTCTTCTTTTACTTACATTTTTCATGATTACGGCATAATAAATCTATTAGATTTGTATATATACATAAGCGATCGGTATTCGTGTTTTTAAAGTGTTAAAAGTCATACGGAACTCAAACCAGTACCTACTTTTAGGGACAGCATCACTTCATATAATGAGTACTTTCCTAAAGACCCTAAAGCCAGCTCAGATTTCAGTGCGACTCTTAACAGAATACTAATATGGTGAACTTGTTTAAATTTTGATAGAAAGCTGCTACCTGCTTGGTTATTTTATACGAAAAGTTACCATTCTGATAACAATATAAACAAATTTAAACAGCAATAAGTTTTAACAAGATATGCAATGATCGAGGTTTAAAAGCACAAACCTTATTTAAGTTCTAATTTAGGATGTTATATACTCTACAATCTTGACGCTTTTGTTTTGGTCTGCAGGCTTTTTTGGTTGACGATTTGTTTTCGTTAGGCTATCTTGCGGTAGGTCGGTGTGTTGCCATTTGAACGTGCTACTCGTATTTACTGCACTGGTTTTTGAGGGTACTTCCTGCTAAATTTTTGAAACCTATATGCATTTCTATGCCAATTTAACCCCGAATATCTGAAACACTTGATTGGGGAGCGAAGTACTAGTACCGAATTATGCAAGAACCTTCTGTATCTTCAACAACCTCTTCTCCTCACAAATTGACAACGATTGCAGCCGAAAAATCTGCCAAAGACGTTGATTTAAAGACGAATTCCGATCTTAAGGATTCGCAGGAAAATCTTGAAGAAAACTGTTCTAATCAAACACCCCCTACCGAATCTCGTGTTACTCGTCGCCCCAGACGTCGAACACACACGTGTTCGAAGGCTGGAAGGCGACGATCCAAGTCATCAGAAAGGAGGTCTTCTCGCAAAGCGCGGAATCGCCGGAAACACCGCAGATCCCGCCGCTCTCGTTCAAGATCGCGACATTGCTCCGGAAGCCGTCGGCAACACCGCAGACGACGTAGGCGTCGGTATTCCACTGAATCCTCTGCCTTCTCATCATCCTACCGCAGTTCTAGTGAGAGTCGATCTCCGTCTCATCGTTCGCAGCATCGGAGACATGCGAGCGATTCATCCCAACGAACAGACCCCCCGAATTCCCGATCCGACCATGACTCGAGCGATGCTCACTTGAAGACAATGTCGCAAAGAAACAAATCGATGAGTCGTGATGTATCGCAGATAACATTATCAGAACCATCGAAAGACAATACTGCCCTTGCAAATGGTCTACCGAAGTTAACAGCCTCTAACCCTGCATTAAATGGCCTAGTTTCTTTACTATTAAACACTACTAACTCTACTAATTCCTTGACGGACTTATTTGGTCCAGCGATTTACGGACTTACAGGGAATACCATAAATCCCACAATTTCGACGCTGTCTTCAAACTCAACGAGACAAGCTCGTCGATTGTATATCGGAAGCATCCCATTAGGTATCACCTCTGAAACCATGGTGGCATTCTTCAATGCAGAACTTCAGACCCGTGGTTTATGTCAATCGGTTGGTGAGCCAGTTGTGTGTGCCCAGGTCAATTCAGAGCGCCACTTTGCTTTCATAGAGCTACGATCAGTTGAGGAGACCACTGCTACGTTGAGTTTGGATGGAATCAATTGTCTTGGCAGCACACTTCGCATTCGACGACCCCGTGACTACTTCCCTCCCGGAACCAATCTCCCTGTTCATCCAGCCAATCACCTAAATGCGAACGCCATCTTCCTTACCGGGATTCCCACGAATCTCTCTGAGCAAAATTTGTGTCGCCTCCTCTCCGCCTACGGAACTCTCCGATCCTTTAGCATGCTGAGAGTGAGTCTTCTTTTCTTCGTATTTGTCGCTATCTGCCTTCGACTTGCAACTTGAATAATTGCTCTTACTAGGTTCCCTTCAAATGTGCTTTTCATCCCGTTATCTGGTCCCTGTAACTCAGCAAAAGTTTGGTTCTCCACTTCAAGGTTAGGCTAATACCGAGTTTTGCATTTGTTAGCCTCTTAAAATTACGTATCTAACTTTTCCGTGCCCGCTATGCTTAATTGCTTCTCCATGATGCTGTGAATGTGACTAATATCCACATCCTAGACATCGCTTTTCTGCTGTGCGAAGAATGCCAAAGTTCTCCATACGTTCATTATCTTCATAGGCACTAGGTTGAAGGAACTGATCTTCACAAGAATTTGCTCTTGCTTTGAGTTTTGAGCTTGTAGCCTAGGTAGAAGTTCCATTCAGCATTCCACTGTTTCGCTGCTTAAAAAATACAACTTTTTTGATTGAGGAAAGTGGTGATGCACTCTTGTTGAAAATAAGAGGATGACATTTGGACTTACAGAACTTAGCCAAGCCTTCATGAATCACCCAATTTCAAGCGGGTATCTCTCATTCTGTCGCTTTAATTTACTCACCTGGGTTGTCTGTCTCGTAACATATGCATAATCTACCTTTCATTCAAGAGGTAAGAGCGATACCTTTTAAAATGCACATTGTTTTCACCATAGTAAAATTTGGTGACACCATTAGTAGATGTTCCTAGAACTGCGGTCCACTTGTCATTCAGATGTGTAGCTGAATGGAACACCAGTGCCTCTGTATTTTTTTCTTTTACACAGAAACTTCTCATTTGGATCATTGTATGTAATGGATCGTTTCCATAAGGCTCCCCGAAATGTCGTCTTTGTGTAGCCATTATCGTCACAACAATGGCACGCACCGTTACCTGACATTTTCCATCCAATTGCACTTTTCGTGATGAAGTAATTGGTTGTGGCTTTAGCCTTAACAGAGTTTACTCCAGAAGCCGACTTGTTTTTATCAAGAAAGACGTTGAGTCCACATGTGAGGAGTGGCGAAGTTATTCCTGTGTATTCTTAGCTTTGAGAAACTCCGCTACTTTTTACTGAATTTTTTGGTTTGTTCCTGACGCATTTTATTCTTGCTACTAGTCATAGGAAGATAGTTATCAACATTTTGTTCTGATTTATCCTATATGGCTGAAAGTTGACAGCCTATGGTAATTTTTATTTGAATACATTCGATGTTATGGTCAACCCAAACGTTCAATTGACACTCGTGGACAATATTAGTCAAATTGCGCTGTATCAACGGCTGCCTTTTTTGTCTGTCCTATGATTTGTTTGCTTAAGGACACGTTCTTTCCAGCCGGCTGTGACTTTTGTGGACTTTTAACCTTGCCACTTTGTACTCGACTTGGTCCATAGTGTTAATAAAATCGACAATAACTTAAATTACTATGGCAAAACCTCAGAGATTGGTCCACTTAAACCGTGCATGTGGTAAGGAATCTGTGATGTTTACCCTGCGATATGATATTTCAGTAGCCGCTGCCTAACAATTTCGCTATCAGTTTCAGATGGAGATTAACAACTGCTATAATATCGGTTTTCGTTGGTTATTTTGTGTAATCTCACTTCTTATAAATGAAAAGAAATGAAATCATTTTTCAACTCAGCTTGATACAATTATTCATCGATACTGCTAGGGCGTCGCACGTTCGCGACTTCAAAAGCTCACGGGATTATGCGTCAATGAAGGGAAGTTATTGCAAGCGTGAAGTGTTCTTGGAGTTTTATTGAGCAATCATAAAGCTTCACGTTCATTATAATGCTCTTGGAGGAAACGTGCATATGTGTTTTGTGGTTTTTGGTGCCCCCCTCCGATCGCCTTAAGCTTGAAAGTGGCAAACATAGGTGTTGGTTCTACGATCATTTAGCTCTTCTTACTCCATAACTTTTTGGCCTTCTTTTTGCACCTTGCTGTAAATCAAGTGGGCTGTAGGCGACGCTGTTGTTGACTTCCGCTATTTCACTAGGAATTGAGACCTCACAAATCATACTCTCCGTTATTATGAAAATTACCCACCTTTACTTTTTGTTTCCGAGTTTTTTGTCTTCTTTTACCTCTTCAGTGATTATTTCTGATTATTTCTGTTTTCATGTTCTTGGGAGGGTTGGATAGATTTATGATCATCTCGTTTGTAAGGCCATGAAGGTCGTTCCCATCAGCCGTCTTTGTTAGTTTTTCCAAAAGAAAATGAAATGTGGCTCTAGTAGGTCTTGGGATGGGCGTTCATGCCAGCCAGAAACCCCATGTAAATTCATACTGGGTGAAGATTTGAATCATAATCACGTAGAGCGCAAAATTTTGTAGATATTATTTGACATAGCGAATGTGTAGAATGGTATTAATGGAGGTTTAGGTTCTTGAATAAGGCATACTTTTCTTTTTTGAGTCCTGACGTGGACTGAATGCATTGCATTCCACTTACGATATTAAAAATGCATTTGTCGGCGCTTTAAATTTTAAAATTGATAAACATTCGGTGTCTGAAATCAAGGGATATCATAGTGGACTAAAAGATGAAACAGTTAGCAAATTACGGCTAACTAGCGTTGCCTTCCCAAACTGCTGTCGGGGTATTTGGCAAGCTTCAACAAGAGAGGGAAAAGGTGAATATGTTCGTGGATTTATCCAAAACCCTAGACGGTGATCGACCTTTCACTTAAAATGGTTTCATTCTTCAGGAGTCTGAATAGCACTTAGTGGATGAAATTATTTTGAACCTCTGAATGATAGTTTGAAGCAAAATTTATCTAAAATTTTTGATTTATTTTAAGGCCACATGTACATCAAATGATGGACGTGTTCTAAATACAGCTTGTCTCTCGGATGCTGGCGAGCGAGGGTTCAAACGGTCAGATTAACCTGTATTTAGGAGCTTTTGGCAGACGTGTTTAGGCTCGTAGTTTGCTCAACTTCATAGTTGCGAGACATTTCGATATGGCACGTCCTCCGCACTTCCCAAGTATCTGCCTCAGTGGTAGCTTTTCGTGTTCGTTGATTTCAATTCTTTTTAATTATTATTTTCCTCTCATCCGTTTACTCCGACAATGATAGGTGATGCGATAAATCAAGACGCCTTTCATTCTTTGCTCGATGATTGTTGTCGTTACTGTAGCTGCTAGAAGGTTTAATATTTGCATTTATGTAAGCAGGTGTCACCTTGGAGAAAGATTATTTATTTTCCTTTGCGCAAGTTTACTATTTACCAAAAATTCAAATATACCATTCATTTTTGTTAATCCAGGCACTGCATCACAATTGTACCGAATTTGCATTCGATCGTGAGCTCGATTTGCCCATACAGGGCACTTAAAGAGCGAAGCTGGAAAGCCGTTCTTACGTCGAATTGAAAGAAGTTTGGGATCCAGATCTTGAAGTAAGGCAGTGCTTTTAAGAGTTTCATTCGCTTTACACAACCTAATCGCAAGGTGTAATGAGAGCTATTAGTACTTTTCTTCTTCAAACTCCTAACTTCAAAGGCAGAATATGGGGCAAAAATGCCAACAGCAGTGCCAACAAATGATTGCATTTAAGATCAACTGTTGCTGTAGTGTCGTACAAAGCCCAGTTGCAATGCGTCATTATTGGACCCATTTGTCAGTGTGCATACATTCATGTGCGCAGCTATGTGGAGCCACGAGTGAACACAAAGAAATGGATATGTGCGGCCACTGCGAAGCCATTCGGGCCTCATCGAACACTCAGTAAAGGTGCTTTAGTCAAGCCTACTCTTGACTGTAGATAGGCCAGAGCGCTGAGGCAGTTTAACTTTTAGCCACAGGTGGCATTTGTCTTTGACGATTACTAGCTCAAACATCGTTTTGATTTTCCAAGTATAGAATGCTTTTTTTCTAATTTTTGCTCTTCATTTGCCATTCGCTACTTCGCATTGAATTTGTCCGGCAATTTCGATGGTACATACGTCTGAAATGGTGAAATGATTTATGCGATTCCCGTGTACTTTACTTCCACTCACTTTTGAAGCATCAAATTTGTGAATAAACTTCCTATCTTCCAGACTATTTCAAGTGACTATTAATAATTGTATTTTTTAAGCTTCGCTGCCTGATTGCTCCTCTCGCTAATTTTTAATCGCTTTTCTAAGATTTTTCATTTAGTACGGTGAGATATAGACCTTCCCGATACAAATGTCACATATGTGACATCTTGCATTTCAAACCCGTGCCTACGAATGGCAGCTAAGGCAGCAATTGAAGAGCAAATACATGGGCTTGAGGAAGAAAAAAAAGATTATGAATGGCGTATTGTGTTAGACCATCAAAACGTCCGGCCTGTGTTGGTTAAGCCTATTGAGACTGGATTTCATCGTACCATTGTTTGTTGATCGCTCATATGTTTGTTGTGGGGCTACTCGTATTTGTAGCGAGAATGGGTGCATGTTGTTTAAGTTTTACTGCGGTGATTGTTGATATTTTTAGGAATAGAATTTGATCTGTGACTTAAATAGTCAACGTGTTGTGGTTTGCAGTAGTGGTGATGCTTTATGTTTAAGAAGGGGAAGAAGCCTGTCATTTTTTATCCTCTTACAAGCATAACCGAGGGGAACACGAGAATCCAGATGATTCGAAGCGTAGTAACCAATAGAACCTCTTTTTTGTCTTCAATTTCTGGAATAAAATTTGCAGTGGCCTTTGTTCCCACACTTTCATTACCGTGTTTCTCCCTACTCGACGTACTAGTAGTATCAGACTTATCTCATATACAATCATTTCGAATGAAAAACATTGATGGCGAATAATTTCCGCATTCCATTCTCATTGGTTCTAAAACACTTTGGGCCACAAGCTGACTAATTCACGTTAAACTTCCGGTTTTTGTCTTTCCACACATTTCATGAAACCGCTCTGACACAGAACATGCTCGAACTGAATGCGATAGAAGAAAGCTGCTGATTGGTTAGGGTAGTCTTGCTCTTGGAGATGTTAAGGATGAATTGCCTAATCCATGGTAAAGGCTAGTTATGTTACAATGGCAACAGCAAAATTGTTGCCGACATCGATTGGCTCGTCTCAATGTCTCTTCTAACCAATTAAGTGCCTTAGTTATTGTTGGGCGCGTAGTAACACACGAATGAGGTGACTTGTTGAATAGTTGGGACGGTGAAACCATTAAGTGAAGCGGGGTACTAAGGGACAGAAAAGATCTGTGTATAATCGACGTATCCTTTCGTTACAACGACGCTGCAACAACGAATTTGATTACTCTTACTCATTTGAAATGCTCTAGCACTGTAGTTAGTATAAGTAAATCAAATTCTACATTGAGAAGCGAAAATCCTATTGGAGAAATTGGCTCATTGTTGTAGGAGCTGGAACGTTGAAAGGTTGAAGTGAAGGATCGGTAATACTGGCTTCAACTCAGGATATTTTGTGCTTTCTAGTCCGGTGATGACAGTCTAGTTGGAATATGACTGAACTCATATTGTTAGAAGGCATGTTAATGGTGCTACCTGTGAGTTTGCACTCGGTTGGTGATCAGTATTTGAGACTATGCCTTCTCAGTACGCGAATTGATGCCACAATATTAATGCCAGATCATTGTTTTTGTATCCTTCATTCGTTCTCACGTCCGTCAACTTATGTGCCAAAAGGGTGAAGGTGGCAGGCTTTTTCATTTGGCGTGTCAGTGAGTGTCATTGCTCCAGCGATGCAAAGTTGGTAAAATGGTAGGAGTTGCAAGCAACAAGCGTGGAGGGCATAATTTTCGGTAACGCATGCTACCAACGTGAACATGAACGTGAACGTAAAATGGTTGTTCTGGTGTATTGAATTTAGGGCACGACATAGGTTTCGACAAAAAAATATCTAGTGTGTTTTTTGTGTGTTTATGCTAATAGACATTACATCGGTATGTCGGATCATTCTGAGGGAATTGAATGGGGGAGCTAAGGCGCTATAGCCATTAGTGCAATGCTATGAAACCTAGAAATCAGTACAACTCACTAGGTCAAAGATATATCTCAATATTTTTATATTTCAAAGCCGTCTCCAGCCCTCATTAAACTTACCTTTCTTTTCAAGCCTAACAAGCCATCGTGTGAGGTCTAATCACTCACGCTACATCGTGGTTTCAGATTATCAAATGACACTTCCTTCACAAGCGAAGACGTGTCGAGGATTAACTCTTACAAGAGAGAACTAGATTTTGAGCAGTGTTTCGTATCTATCTCCTAGTATTCCAGTCACTGCTAGTACCAATGTTGATTGGGAGCGGTGAGGTAGAAGCATATTGTTCTTGGAGCCTGATCTTGGGTCATTGAAACCTGAACTTGCACCTGTAGTAATAATGTCCCAGAAGTAGAAGCAAGATATTCACAGAAAATTGTCGATGCTCTGACAACTCTCTAACTGTTGGTCTCTGCAACTAACTCTCTTTCTGGGTGATGCATTGATTTAGTAGGCAAATGAAATGCGACTTGTTATTTTACTTTATTTTGGTAGTTACTTCTGCCATAGATGCAGCTTATTGCCTCATTCCCAAAGGAATGACGAAGAGTAGAAGATCCCTTATTTGTGTTAGGAACGGCTGGACGACCGTAAATGCTGACGTACGGACAGCGAGGAGTAAAGATGGCTACAATTTTCGATGATTTTGTAGACTACCATTTCACCACATTGCTATAAAGTATATCTGCTCCCTTAATTGCCATAGGATCCCCTGACAGCTATGCCGCGAGGCTGTGGGTTCTTTGAGTATACCGCCTCTGAATCCGCCGATTTAGCTTGTCTGGGGCTACAGAATCACCCAGCCGGAGGGGGCAAGTTCTTCGCAATTCGTGCAGATCATCTAGTAGCAGCTCCACCTTTCACACTCCTCCCTCCCCTCTCCTCTTCACCGGCCACCGCCGCCACTGTTTCAGTCTCCCAACTGAGCCCTACACCTGTTCTCTGTTTGGCCAATATGGTCTCGCCTCGCGACATTGACTCTCCTGAGGGTTATGCTGATGTCATGGAGGACGTGCGCAGTGAATGTCTTCGACATGGAGCCGTTATTTCCGTCCATATTCCCCAACCTAGTACCTCAACTTCCTCGGCATCTTCCACTGCTCTCTCTACTGCAAAGAACTTTGGAAAGATATTCGTCGAATTTGCGACTGCGCAGCAAGCTCGGGCGGCTAGTTTGGCGCTGGATGGACGCAAGTACAACGGACGCACTGTGTCCACCAGTTTCTGCGACCCGGTACGGTATGCAGCTGGAGAGTTTAGTTGAGATATGTGGCTGTCTGAAAGTGTGATGATTTGTTCTGTCTTGTCTCTGCTTACTTCTCTATGATAATATGTGAAAGGTCTATTTTTGAAGCGCTGAATCTGTATTTCCCTTTGCTCCTCCCTCTGCTTGTCTCGAGTGATGTAAACTCATTTAAACATGTAAAGTTCTGCTAATTACTTAGGTCTTCTCTTGTTATGGTAAGTCATCCTTCATGCGACGAAAAGAAAGTAGGAGTACCTAGTTTCTATTCCATCCAAGGTGAGACTTGGTACTCTGTCAAACTTTTGTCTTAAGCATCCAAGCCCAGCACAAATGGCCAGTGTATCAGTGATGTTGTTGCCAAATGTCGATGGCCGCGAATTTCATCAAAAGTAGTTCTTTTGCAGACGAGCGAGTCTTTTTGTCCTTTTCGTTAGCTAGTTATATGTGCGAGTCATTGTCGTGCGTTCTTGTCCTGGCTCAATTGTTTTTCGTCACCGCCAGTTTCGAGCATGTTTCCCCTGTTGCTTTTATACAATCGCGGTCTACGTATAAGTACATAGTCTTAGCGATTTTTAAGGCTTATCACAATGGGAAAGTCTCAGGCAGTCTTCAGTCTCTGTAAATATGGAGCTTCGATAGGGAGTGCTTCTGAATCGCTCTTTCCGACCTTAAATTGACATCAAGTGAAATAGTGAGGTAAGTAATTTACGTCGAACGCGAGACAGATGACATATGATTAAGAACACACCAATGAACAAGTTGTCAGATAACAAAAGTGCGAACAGTTAACGGGTGTATTTGGAATTCCAACTTGTTTGGTTAATACAGGCTTTGAATTTAAGGTTCGTACGACCCGAGATGAGAACATGGATGAAAGTAATGGTGCGCTGAAACAGTAATAGACACATCTTAACTACACTAATGCCTTCTCAATGTCGTCATACTTATAAAAATTGACACTAATTCCAATGACATCACTGTGCAGTTCTTGTGAAAGACGATTGTCCAAAGTCTATACAGAAGTCATTCGAGAATCTGTTTTAAAGAGGAGGCATATATCTCCCGGTTGACAAT